GAATAAAGAAGAGAGAGAAAGAAGAGAGACAAACTCCCCTAACAGTTTATTAAGCGCATGTTGTAATTTCAAATAGTTCTTACAGCTTTTTTTGCCATAATAACCGATGATTGATAGAATGATCGTACCTAAAAAAGCTAAATATGGAACAAATGTTTTTAAAAATTCAGTTACGCCATTGAGAGTGGTGGTGCTCTATTGTAAAGTAAGGTGGAAAGTAGTGGTGACAGTGGTGGTGATAAGCTCTTGAGAGTGTGGGTGCGATAGGGATATGTTTATCATGATGATAGTTATAGTACTACCAGCCTCATATATGCTTACACTCACCCCACACCCACCGTTGTTTGAATGTAGTGAGTCGAATAGTAAATAAGTTCCAGTATTGAAATGAGTCTTCACTGATATGATTCGTTCAGTATAGTATATTTGTATTTATTGTGAGATATTTCTAGAAAATGCTTTGACACTTCTATTCCATTACTATATTTAACATGTTTATTTATGAGAAAACTGTTAGTTTTAAGTGAACTATTGAACCACCAATATGTGGTGCCATCTGTCATAAATTGAATACTCTTTTCATTGCTGAGGCATATGTGCCAGCAGAAGTGACAGATGTCCTTTTGAATGACACCCCTTATATCTTTTTTTTATCTCTCTCTATCTCTCTCTAGTAAATAAGTTCGAGCTGTATAGAATATAGCCGAATAAGCATCATGTTTTAAAGCACTAAAACTATGGCTCTCCATTTGGCACAACGATGGGTATGCATCAGTAGCTCATTTACATTTATGCCCAACCAGTGGTAGAGCTGCCTATCCATAATTCCGTTACAGCACACATAAAAGAATTATGGTTTTCTTTGTACAGCTAATGGTAATATTCTTTTTCAAACTGCTTAAATATTAGAAATTATTACGCAAGGATTTTCAATATTGATATATATTTTAGATGTTTAGAATTACCACCGATCAATCGACCGTTAAACGAGCTGTATGGGTTCAAAAAGAAGGAAGCCGAAAAATGCGTTACTTCATTGACCCTCATATAAAAATAATCGAAGATTTAAAGAAATTAGCATTAGGTAATTCTCTTGGGGATTACCAGGCCTTCTTTAAATCTAACATTGGTCTAGAAGAAACTGCTGCTATTCCAGCTGATATGTCTTTCGAAACACCAATTGAATTTCGTCCGTATATTTATCAACCTCGTGAGTATTATATTAAAATTATATAGCATTTAAATGGAAAGCTTTTTTTTATTCTGTAATATTTTATTTTCAGCATTGTCGTTGGCAACAGATAATGATGATAGAAGAACCAGCACCATTTTGGACAATTATCAAGCTGTTGCCAAATGTTGCAAGAATATGGACGAATGGCAAAGAAATTGTACGTAGAGAAGTCCCTTGAGTGATCTTTTTAAAATCTGTGGTTTTGTAAAAAACGAGTTTCTTCAACTTTTTCGATAGACAACTGTGCGCATACAAAATATTTATAATAAATAATGAAAAAAAACGTTGAATAAGCTAGTATTTGAAAATATAGATTTGCTTTCAGCAGACCATTATTGAGATGACTAATAAGACAGATATCCAAAAAGAAATGATTCTTCGATTTAGGTATGGGTGAGCGTGGGGTCAGTGTAAGCATATATAAGTGTGGTAATACTATAACTATCATCGTGGCAATCATATCCTATCACACGCACACCAACACCCCACCCTCAAAATGGTTTCGTACTTTGAAATATTTAATCTGTCTTTGTATTTTATAATACTTTGTTGATTTTCATTTTAGGTTTATCAGCTTTGGCTTTCATCCCGGGTTGATGGTTCCTGATGCAGTATTCTCGCAAGTTTCCGACAGAAACCCCGTCGGAAAATGCCAGGAAGTCGACTCTGGAATCAGTTCCAGGCAGAACCAAACGGATTCGGTCACCGGATCCGCTCAACAGGAATACTGCTTCCATGCCGGATTATTCGACCTGAAAACTGGGTGGCGAAGTTGAATCCTTGCGAATGCAAGCTTCCGCTCAAGCCATGAATCACGAACAGATCACCGTATAAGTTCTCATCAAAGTCTCTGTTTTCAATTATTGTTTCATTTTTCTTTTAGGATGACTTTGATTTTTTTTTTGCTTTTTTTTTGTTAAAAAAATATAATTTGAAAAGCTTGAATTGCTCTTCTTTTTCTGCAAGAATGTAATCAAAAAGAAATGCGTAGGGAGCTAGACAATGGTGATTTTATTATATATTTCAACTTGAGTACTTTCGATATGCGAGCGTTGATTATGCCATCATAGATTCTTATTATGTATGTGATTTAAAATAATGAATATCACCTCGTTCACATCATTTATCACAGCTAAATAGTCTCGAAAGAATTTGTGAAAAATACTGGCTGTTCCGAAGATTTAAAAAGTCATCATAGTAGGAGAATTTATGAACAAATCAATTAGATACGCGGGTATCTTACGATCAAGCGAAATAACCAATTGAGTATAACGTTTATTGATCTCGAAGATTTTTTTTTGATCATAATTCATCTTTTGTATATTGATGTTTTCATGAATATCCAAACAAACATCAAATGAAGAGAAATCATCCATTTCATTAATTGTATGAAAAATATCGGGTGTACAAAAAAGGATATTTTTATGAAAATTATAGTAAGGGCGGGAGGGGGGAGATCCCTAAACATACCCTCAAGTTTCATCAGTTTGTAGAGTCAAGGACCAGTGGTAAGAATATCACAATAACTAATTCTTGCGCAGTCCCCTACTTAAACGAAACGTTTCCGAATCAGAATTCTCGATATAAAATTGTTCATTATGTTCATATCTATGGGATAACATGTTTTCTCCTTGGGAAAGAAGTCGTTTTCAAGAATTTCCTATGTAAGAATGAATTTTGGAATCATGGCAAGAATGTCCTTGACGAAGTGTTCTCAAGTTTTGGTGCTCGCAAAAAATGTTCTTTAAATTTTTTCTTTAAAGAACGTCCTCGGACTAAATGTACCTGATGGGTGTGGGTGTTGACAGAAAGAGAATATTACACCCACATCCACCCTCAAGATGAGTTTTTCAATGATATGAACTATTCTTTAATAATGAAACAAAAAGAATACTTCATTCTATTCATGAAATAAACTTTTTCTCTCCTTCTATTCTTCTGTGTTTTTGTTGACTATTTTTTCTTTCTTCTCTAACAGAACTAAACTATGCTTGTTCAGATATAATAATGCAATCGTGAAGGTCTTTTCTTCAATACATATCTTTTCAATTTGTATTGTTTACCTTACCGGTGAGTGTTACTGCTCATATTGTATTCTCAACAATAACCAAGTTTCAATAGACATTTTTTTTTGCATCAGTTTTATTTTACTTTCAAAAAAAAAATACAGAACGAAATTATAATTTCTCTTTTATGTTTTCCAAGTTTCTTCTCCATTGTTGAATAGTTGGATGATTTGATGGTAATGATTGTTGTGCAATTTGTACAGCACGTTCATAAAATGAATGCGCTTTTGCACAGTTCCTCATATTCTCATACAGCACACCGATGTTGTTGTAGGAAGCACCCACGTCAGGATGATTGGAAGCAAGTGATTGTTGTCGAATTGCAAGAGCTTTTTCATGCGATGAAAGTGCCTTTGGATAGTCACCCATGCTGTAATATACCAAACCGATGTTGTTATAGGACATACCCAAATCAGGATGGTTGGAAGGAAGTGATTTTTGCCGAATTGTAAGAGCGTTTTCATGAGATACCAGTGCTTTTGGATGATCACCCACATTGTAATACACCAAACCGATGTTGTTATACGACATACCTAAATCAGAATGATCGGAAGGAAGGGATTGTTGTCGAATTGAAAGAGCTTTTTCATGCGATAAAAGTGCTTTTGGATAGTCACTCATGCTGTAATATACCAAACCAATGTTGTTATAGGAATTACCCAAACTAGGATGGATAGAAGGAAGTGACTGTTGTTTCATTTCAAGAGCCTTTTCATGAGATGCCAGCGCTTTTGGATAATCACCCATGGTATAATACACCAAACCGATGTTGTTATACGACGTACCCAAATCAGGATGAGTGGAAGGAAGTGATTGTAGGCGGATTGCAAGAGCTGTTTCATGCGATGAAAGTGCTTTTGAATAGTCACCCATGTTGTAATGCACCAAACCGACGTTGTTATAGGACATGCCTAAGTCAGGATGATTAGAAGGAAGGGATTTTTGTCGAATTGCGAGCGCCTTTTCATGAGATGAAAGCGCTTTTGAATAGTCACCCATATTGTAATGCACCAAACCGATGTTGTTATACGACATACCCAAATCAGGATGATTGGAAGGAAGTGATTTTTGTCGAACTGTAAGAGCGTTGTCGTGAGATGAAAGTGCTTTTGCATAATCACCCATGCTGTAATATACCAAACCGATGTTGTTGTAGGAGGCACCCAAGTCAGGATGACTGGAAGCAAGTGATTGTTGTCGAATTGCGAGCGCCTTTTCATGAAATGAAAGCGCTTTTGGATGATCACCCATATTGTAATACACCAAACCAATGTTGTTAAAGGACATACCTAAATCAGAATGATTGGAAGCAAGTGATTGCTGTCGAATTGAAAGAGCTTTTTCATGCGATGAAAGTGCTTTTGGATAATCACCCATGCTGTAATACACCTCACCGATGTTGTTATAGGAATGAGCCATGTCAGGATGATTGGAAGCAAGTGTTTTTTGATAGATAGCTAGTGATTTTTCATAATACGTAAGTGCTTCTAGATGTTTTCCTTGCTTGTCTTTGATCCGACCTAGTTGATTGTAAATAGGTGCTTTGTCATTTTCATCCGTTGTTTGATCAAATAAAACTTCGTAAATTTCTTCAGCCTTGTTAAACTGACCCATTTTAATTAGAAATTCGCCCAATCTGGACCATCCTTTCGAATTTGGAAAGGTCTCCTTTCGTATACGATCAGTAATAGTACGAAGGTGTTCATCGTTATCATTAGTCAATGTTAGATTCACTTGATAAAGACGATTATTTTCATCCATTGGTTGAATATCTCCAATACGAAAAATGGTATGCATAGAAAAGAGAACCTCATCTTCTGTATGAAAATAACTAACATTTTTAATAGAAGCAAATACACTTGTTGAATCCGTAGGATTAATAGACATATTAAATAGAATTCCAACAAGATTAGGATTTGTAGCAGCTTGTTGTGCGAAATTAAGAGAAACATCATGATTTTTACTAGTTGATAAGAAATTATTGAATGAAAGAAGTCCACCTTCAGTTTTTGTCATTTTGGTGAAATCTTCTTTCGAAAGACCTTGTCCACGATAAACTGTGAATGTTTTATCAGATTGTTCACCATCAAATTGCTCCGAATGAAGTCGTTGAATATCACGATGTAGATCAGTAATAAAGAAACCCATTCTGACAATAGTATCAACATCCATTAACCGTAATGCTTGATTGAGCATGCAATATAAAAAATATTGATAAGTATACCACGAAATAGGTGTTTGGTCATGATAATCACGTTCCAGTTTTGTAACATTATCTAATGCATACTCATTTTCGGCAAATGCATCACGGCAGTAATGAATATATTCTTTGATGTGCTTCTCTTCGAAATCGATGGTTAATAAGATCTCTTTTAAGGTCTGGGCATACAGAAATGATAGATCTAATTGAACCAATTTTTTGTTTGATGCCAAAAAACTAATCGAAATAGCATTTTGCTCACATTGATGAGCAGCTTGTTTAAGAGCTTCACAGATTGGTGTTATTTCAGTGAAGATTCCTTTTATTTTAGGCCATTCTTTGGCCCATTGTTTATCCCAGTCTTGACTGTTATAAATAATAAAAATGCTGTCTATTTGGGACATGTCATGCACACGAGGCACAATATGTTTCCCAAATGACTCGGAGACCACCATGCATACTTTATTGTTGATAATGGTTTGAATAAATTCAACACACTGGTCACCATCCGTAAACGTATTTATATTGTTAACTACAGATTTTAATTGCTTGATTGTATTACTACAATCAGCATTATCATCATCCATGTTGCTGTCCAACCAAATATGGAGGACATTTTGCGTTCTTTGCATGTTAATACGTTGATTTCCAACTACATCCTTGGAAAATTTTGTTACATGTGTTTGAACAGATGTTATTGATTTGTTGCTCGCCATTGTTTATTATAATGTAGACTTTCAAAAGAATTGTTTATAAATAAATGAGAATAATGTGTCATTTTATAGTATAAGAATTTTCTTTCGAGATTGTTCTTTTTATCATCGTCATTTACATTGTTGCATCTGTTATCAGTATTTCACTTGATTTTTCATGTTTGTTAAATATACGTCACAAAATATTACAGGTATCCTCAAAGATATTTATCAGTTACTTACAGACGAAAAGGATGTTAAAGTATGGTCATTGTTGACAATTTAAAAAAAAATAATCTGTACGAAATCGTTCTTAAATTAATTATTCTTTCAGAGAATCTCTAAAGAGAATTTTATTTTTTTCATTCATTATTACAGAGAGATAGAAATTTATAATTATGTGTTGTGAATTGCTCGTTTTTATCTTCTTTTTACTTTCATGAGTCAAAGACTACGCGTATGCATGTTCTATGACTAATATAATGTTATCAGAAATATGAAAGATCAACAAATATGCATACTCAGGTAAATCAAAAAAAAAATAAGAGTATTGATGTATCTTTAAAATAAATAAAATTCGTAAATGTTCCTTTACGTATTATTTGTTATCATGCTAACCGTATGTCTGAAATAAATACATTGACTATAATGCAATCATCTAATTGACTATTCTCACCTACTTGCCACTGGATAATGATCAGGTGTAAACTTTTGTAAAGCTTTACATCTTCTGTAATAGACGTGTGAACGAAGAACATTTGATGATCAGTATTTTTTGAATGGTTTGAATCAATTATTAAAATAAAATAAAATTTGTGTTACAAAATATTAGACAATGGACTTAATTCATCGTATATATTCATACATTGTTCTTTCGCTGAAAAAACATCGATTTACAAAGGATATGGTTATGGGTTTTGGACAAACAGAAGACATTCACACCCACACCCTCAAGAGTTTTGTATTAATTATATACATGTATGTATTTTATTAATCTTATAATCAAACTAAAGTAAAAAGCTATTTTTTATTTGATTAAAAAGAAATATTTTTCTTAATTAGAACGGTGTCGATGGGCGGAGATAGGTGACCAGCTTCGCAGCAGTCCTATATTTTCAAAATCGGTCATATTAACCGGTGATATTTCAAGATTTTTGTTGTATAGTTCTACATTTTCCGAATAAGTGTAGATTCTTTTGAAAAAGTGCCTGCACGACAAAAATTAACAGTTGTAATCATCTTATGTGACTTGAATTGTATAAATCACGAAGTAACTTTTTATGATACTCACTTAATTTGATTTTGATTATACTTATGAGAATTTAAAATAAACTTACTATTTCTTGAAAAAATTGTTATTCTATTGTTTTCCAAAGACGTTTCATTATAAAAATTTGTGCCCTATATATTTCCTATATTACGTGAAAAGAAACATAAATATAAATTATCTGATCTAGTATGTTGTATAATAACATATATATAAGTACTAGTTTAACTTTTATCAACAATTTGTAAGCTAGATGTCTCTGTCATCCGTTGAATGCCATGGTTGTCTACGACAATGTTAGAAAAGATGGCTGAACTCCAATCGTAAATTGAATGAGTAACGCAGTTGTCTCATTTTTTTTCTCGATGACTTCCTACATTTTACATAATCAAATTCATGGTTGATATAGCTAAACTTGAAAGTGATGCACGTAAACATGCATCAAAAGCAGTTGATCTTGATTCCAAAGGTAAAAGTGAAGATGCTGTATTTTTCTATGTTGAAGCTGCTCAAGCTTTAATTAGTGTACGAGAACAATTAGTTTCTGATCGACAACAATCAAAAAGTTCATCATCATCATCATCTATTGAATTAAATGACATTGCTCGTTTAATTCATGATTATATAAAACGTGCTGAAGAAATCAAAGAAAGTTTAAAATCAAAACCAGCACCAAGTTTACATCTAAAGAATACATCAGAAAAAGGTGTTGAACGTGCACGATATTTATTAACACAAGCACTTGATCAAGATGAGCAAAAAAAATATGAAACTGCTTTTAAATTTTATCAAGAAGCTATAACACTTTGTTTAAATGAGAAGAAAACAAATGATAATATTAAAATAAAAGAACAACTTGAAAAAATTGCTTATCAAGGTAAAAATAAAATAAATCATCGAATGATAATTAATAAATTTTTTCTATTTAATTTAGCTTTAGAACGTGCTGAAGAACTTAAACGTACAGAACTTAATGTATCATCGCATATACGTTTACCATCACCACCGCGTGATGAAATTATTCAAAATGAAGAACAACAACCAATGGATATCGATCAATCAAATATAGATATTATTGATAAACGAGTTAAATTATCATCACATGAACTTGATGTTTTACGACGTGGATCAAAAATAAATGGTCGAGATTATGTACCATTTTTTAATATTGATTTAAAAGAACGTTTTGCATATCAAACACCATTTACTGATTCTCATGGACCATTGAAATTAGCACCAAAACAACAATCACATTTTGCACGTTGGGCACGACCCGAT